AACTTTTACACCAAGCACAGCAACCTTATGTGTGTGCATGTGCGTAGGCACCATCGCAGGCCACGCACCAAGCACATCACCCTTGTGCGTGTGTATGTGCGTAGGCACCATCGCAACAACCTCGCACAGCAGCACCATGCTAGGCTAGGCCTTGTGTGCGTGTGCGTGTGTTTATGCCTAGGGGCCATCGCAAGCCATCGCAGCATCACAACAACACCAAGCTTCGCATGCTTGTGCGTGTGGCTGGCGAGGCGATACCTAGCATGTGTGGCTCACTAGCAGCACGCATGCTAGGAAGTTCGAAGGGGGCATTGCGTGTGCGTATGTAATGGCGAGAGAGGCAAGGGCCAGCGGTAGTAGCTAGCAGTGCCTATCACTAGCACTAGCACTAGCACTAGCACGCAGCAGCAGCAGCACAAGCATCGCCCAACACAGCACGCATATGCAGGCTGGGGTGATGCGGGGCTTGCTGGCTACTGCTAGCTGGCAACACTAGCTGGCTGCCAGCCTAGAAGCCCTCCTAGGCCGGTTTTGTGAGGGTAGGGACAAAGGGCTTGGAGCATGCCTTTGGGAGCAAGGCAATGGTCCCCCAAGGTTCATGGTCCTCACCTAACTCTCTCTCTCCCCTTGACACTTGTTGCATTGTTATTGCATTTAATTAATTATTTAATTTAGAATTAAATAAATTAATGCTTATTCACATTTATCCCACATTTATCATGAAATGGGATTCAAGTTCCCATTCTCTATAAATACCCACTTGGTTGGGATTTTTGAGAACAACACTTGAGTGGAAAAGTAAAGGCAACTCCATTGTTGAGTTTACCTTGAAATTCGTAAAACTCTAAGTTTATATTTGTTCGGGCCTCGACTAACCTTCGAGGCTTAGGACGCTCGGGTCGGGTTCGAGGGCACGATCCCGTCGGAGGCCTCGTGTTTTCGAGGTTCAAGTAAGAGCTCATAGTTGAGCGAAGCACGCGTCAAAGGTATAATCTTTTATCCTTTCTTATGCTTTTTAATTATATTTTGCTTGTTAATTGCATTTATTATGGGGGCGGGTCTTGGTGGGTTTCATTCCTCGTAGTGTGGGTCACTACGAAACCTGAGCCTCGTATCTTTCGTTCACTAGTACAAAGTACAGAGTAACGCCTTATGATTTTAAATCAGAATCTGAATCAACTTTGGTTATTTTATATGATTTTGATAATTTGTTATTCAATTTGCTCATTTTATGTTTTATCTAGAAACTCCTTATGGATCTTACAATAGCTTCAATGGACCTCCTAAATGAGCAATTAATTTTTTGCTTATTGTCAAATGAGCAATTAAATTTTTGCTCATTTATCAAATGAGCAAAAACTTTAGTGCTCATATAAAGTTCAATTTCCTCAGTTTTATATGACTTTACTCATTTCATATCCACTTTGCTCATTTCATATTCACTTTTCTCATTTCACATTTACTCTTTTCATTTATATTCATCTTATTATGTATTTTTTTTCTCATTTGTCAGATGAGTAGTTAATTTTTTTGCTCATTTGTCAAATGAGCAAAACATTCCGTGCTTATTTGTCAAATAAATATCAGTTTACTCATTTTATATGACTTTTCTCATTTCATATTCACTTTGCTCATTTCATTCTTACTCTTTTCATTTGTATTCATCTTATTTATGTATGTTTGTTTATGGAAATGCCTTTCTCAATATGAAACTGATCGTTCTCTATAAAGGAATAAAATGTTTTGTGATATTGTGGAGTCGGAATTCAGCAAAACAGTCATCCCAAAGAAAGATATTGAGCTTTTCTTTTTCCCATTATTTGAAAAAGATCATTATTTTTTGGTATGTTTTAACACCACCAAAGAGCGTGGTACAATGGAGGTTATTGATTATAGTGAAGGCTCTACAGAAAACAAGAAATTTCTTCAAAATCTTGTATGGCTCAAGATTTTGTTAGATTTTTTTAGAAAAATGATTAGAGTTTAGTGTTTATCTTCGTCTTGTTCTGCCTATATTTGTTCTACCTATATTTGTTCTACCTGTTTCTATTCTTATTTTACTTTTTTTGTTCATTTTCATAAAAGCGCGTTTTCATATTTCATGGATGGTCAAGGAACTATACAAAGTGTTGTTTTGTCGAAAGAGATCAAGTCTATGGAGTCTGTAGTGATTGATATACTCTGGAAGTCTTCAGATGATGATCATTTGCATTAAGGAGTTGCAATGATGAGGCATATGGAAACATATATGGGTTTGCAAAAGTGGAATTCAAGTTTAATGAAAAATAATGTAAGTCTTTCACATTTCATGCTTGTTGCAACTTATAGGCCATGTTCCTTACTAAAATACTTAATTATTTGGTTCTCAAATGAGCTAATAATTATTTGCTCATTTGTCAAATGAGCATATACATTGATACCTTTTTTGTCTTGTGATTCAATTATTCAAATGAGCAAATACTTAAGTTAAGATCTTATAAGTTCATGTTAGATAAGTTAAAAGATTAGTCAAATCAAAATTAGAGAAGCAAATGGACGGTTTAAACGGATGATTCCGTTATGCGTTACAGCTCAATGTTCGTCCCTTGTTCTACATTTATTCTTGTTTTGTTGTTTCCTTCTTCGAATACTAGTCTAGTTGGTGATAAAATCATTGATTAATGTTTAGTCTAATCACATGTTTACAAAAAGTCACATGACATGATTTTGCAGGAAGTGACACTGAAGCCATCATAAAAGAGAATTAGGAGTATACAGATACTGAGGAATAGATTCCATATTTCAGAAACAGGTAGAAAAAATGATGATAATAGAGAACATTCCTTAATAAAATATCAAATAGGCTTTTCAAGGGCGAAATCATAGAGCATAAAAAATGTGTCTCTATCAAAGTTTCAAAATATGTAGAATTAAAGATTGAGGATTCCCCACCACTTGACCATATATTTCAACTTACATGCATGTATCAGTTTTGAGCACATAACATAACACTTCTTAAGATTCTAGCAGCAAGAGGGAATCATGAAAAGGACATAAAATAATGTGACATTTTTTGTAGAGGAATAAATCCTGAACTACCAACAGCACATCCTGGTTGGCAATGTTATCGAAATGGGGAGCAATCCTTTCCCATGTTTATAAGCATATGCTGCTGCTGCTTTTTTTACGGCGATAAGTCATCAAGAAACATATCTAAAAGACATTAGATGCTAGATAACTTTACATGAGCAATGTTCACTAGCAACTGCCATCATACCTAGTGTAGATGCACTGTTTGTCTGGGTTATATCAGTGACAAACTTCGATTTTGTGTTAGAACTTACTTCTTGTCTTGCATCTTATAAGTTCATTTGAATTCTATTTTGCTCATTTTAATTCTATTTTCATTTTAATTCTTTTTTGCTACTAGCTAAATCAAAATTTTGCTTTCTAAGATGACTTTCTGCAACTTTTGAACTATTGCTTCCTTATACTTACCCTGTACTATTGCTTCATTTTTTCTCTTTGCAGGTCATAATCATTGAAAAACTTCGTTTAAGTATTGCTTCGCAATTATTTCAAGTGAAGTAAATACTGTTAAATATGTTAAAGAAATTGTTCAAAAGAAAAAAAAGGCTGAGGAACCTAGTCTTACAACTGAAGAAAGCTAGGGGCAACAATCCAAGAGCATTCAATGGAGAGAATTGAAGACTATGAAGTTGATCGATTGTCAGGATGTTCTTAGGATTTGTATAGAACAATAGAGGTATTAGTTTTTATGATGTTATCAATGGGACAAATGATTAAATTTGAAAAATGTGTTTGTGTTTATTTTGTTTTTATAACTTTTGGTATGTCAATGTAATGGAAAACATTTTATAAAAGTTGATCTTATTAACTAAGCTAACAAATTAGCAACTAAGAATTTTATCTTTTGACAAATGAGCAACTAACTATTTGCTCATTTGCTAAATTAGAAAAAAATTAATTGTTCATTTGCCAAATGATCAAATAAATTTTTGCTTATTTTACAAATGAGTAACTAATTATTTGCTCATTTGAGAAATGAGCAACTAACTATTTGCTCATTTGACAAATGAGCAACTAACTATTTGCTCATTTGACAAATGAGCAACTAACTATTTGCTCATTTGCTAAATGAGAAAAAAAGTGATTGCTCATTTCCTAAATGATCATAGAAATGTTTCCTTATTTTCCAAATGAGTAACTAATTATGTAGAAAGTGTATATAATTTCACAAATGAGCTAAGAAATGCTTGTTGATTTAATGTATGATTAAAGAAATGTTTTCTCACTTGACAAATGAGCAATTAACTATTTTCTCATTTTAACAAAATTAAAAACACAAAATTTCTATATGAGGGGATGTGCTAAAAATATTAAACTTCAAATTTGAGCTCAATTGCATTTCGAGGCATGATTATTATAACAAATCCCTCAACATCTTTTTGCTATTGGTGCTATTTTTGATCTTATTCTTCCCACACTTATTTCCCCTACAAAGTCTGTAAGTCTTATAGATCAAAGCATACTGACAAAGTGAAAAACAGATGCACACAGTGACAAGAACAAAAACCAAATAAAGAAATAACAAGTACGGCCTACAGTTAGGAATTTATAAAAAAATATTAAATCTTATATTTATAAAAGTTATCATTACACTTTTTCTGGAAAATTTCTAATATCATGATGACTCAATTCACCACAACCTCTACATAATCTCTTCTTTTTCTGGTTTTGTTCTACGACCCTTTCTTTTTCTCCCTTTAGCCTTTTTGCACTTCTATTTTGATGTCTCTTCATTTGATACACGAACTCCAGCCCCTTTCTATTTTGAAGTCTCTTCATTTGATACATGAACTTCAGTCCCTTTATTCTTTGAAATTTTTAGAGGTTTGACAATTATTTCAGTTGGCACACTAGCTCCAATCAATAGCTTAATGTCTTGTCCTTTGTTGATTGCACTTCCAGCTGTTGTTTCATTATTTCTTCCAATCCTCTTAGCCTCCAAATCCCTTTCTTATTCCTTGAAGATTTATCACAAGGTCTTGAATATCTTCATCTTTGCCTTTTGCCAAACTTACACAAGTATGTATCTCTAACCATATATCATTTAACAATTTTTTCTTGTCAATTAAATTAGCACATTGCTTTAACAGGTTTCCACCCAAGTCAAAAATTGGTTTCTTTAGTGCCATAGTAGTCCATCTGTGTAGCATATACTGCTCACGAATGGTTTCAAACCTTTTTACTTTCCAAACCCAAATCATATGTGTACATGGAATTCCTTGTCTATAAAATAGCTTGCAAGAACATGTGGTGTCATAGTTAGTTGGATTAAACACAACATCAAATGTTCTAATCCGATTTCCTTCACTTACTTTAGCAATTTCCAATCAATTTTCTTTCTTCAATTCATCAACACCACAAGAAAAACAAGCAATTTCAACCTCATATTGGAATTCATAAAAGACAAAGTTAGTATATAAATGTGAGGCATGCTTTTCTATCTCTAGTGGTGATTTGCACTCAGGATATTTGTGCTTTGAATCATTATCATTCTGACCTTGAGTGTGTCTTTGGGCATCAATTGCAGCTTCATATCTCAAGTAAAACTCAACAAGTGACACGTGAAGATTAATAAAGGAGCAGAAAAAGTTGTTTTCGCTTTCAGATCTTGTACGCATTATTCCTCTAAGGAACACATCTCTGAAATACGCAAGAATCCACTTGTCCCTTATCTTGTATATATAAACTAACCACTCATGTTCTTCCAAGTGGTATTCAACCATTACCTTTTTCCACCTTTCTTCAAACTCAGCGGGTTCAATTTCAAGATGCCAAACGCAAGCACACATATTTTTTAGGAAACCATTTTCTTCTTGCATGATTGATTTCTCCACCTTAACTGGTAACTTTTTCATTATGTGCCACATACAGAACCGATGTTCAGTCTTCTTAAACACACTTTTAACAACAATTTTCATTGTTGGATCCTGATCCGTGACCATACAATTAGGTTCATTCCCATCCATTGCCTTGAGAAATGATCTAAACATCCACTCAAATGACATAATATCTTCCTTTGCTATGAAACCAACAGCAAAAGTAATGCAGCTCTTATGATGGTCAACCCCTATAAATGGAGTAAACACCATGTTGTACCTGTTTATACATACAGATTAAATTTTAAATGAGTAAATAAATCAATGCTCATTTGTGAAATAAACAAACAATTGTTTGCTCTTTTGTCAAATGAGCAAATAATTGAATTCTCATTTGTCAAATGAGCGAATAACTTAATGCTCATTTGTGAAATAAACAAACAATTCATTGCTCTTTTGTCAAATGATCAAATAATTGAATGCTCATTTGTCAAATGAGCAAATAACTCAATGCTCATTTGACAAAAAAGCAAATAACTTAATGCTCATTTATGAAATAAGCAAACAATTCTTTGCTGATTTGTCAAACGAGAAAATAATTCAATGCTCATTTGTCAAATGAACATACAATTCAATGCCCATATACATACTTTTATCACATAAAATTAGACTTATGGGGATATTCACTTTTCACATTGAAGTAAGCAAACAATTATACTAAGTTCATTTAAAACAAAGTCATTAACTTAAGCCATAGTTATTGATTAGGGGATTTTTCCCTACCAATCATCATCTGACAAGTGGACCAATTAGGCCCTGCCATGTGTCCGCCACATGGGCTAATCGAAGCCTGCCACGTGTCAGGCGTTGATCCGTCCACCATGGACCAGTTGAGTCACGCCATGTGGCCTCCGTATGCTAAACAGGCCACCTAGGCCCAATTTCCAACCGAAGCCCAGTCAGCCCTAGGTTGACCTAAACCTAGTATTTGACACGTTTCCCAAGGTTATAAATACTCTAATTAATCCTCATTAAGGAGGATTCAGCAATTAATTACTCTCACCTAGAGAACTTAAACACACTGATCACTCCTCCCCTAGAGTAACTAGATCTCCCAACCTTTACTTTTCCGCACTATTCACTCCTCAAACAAGTACTAACTTGATCGTCGGAGGCGAAACTCCCACCACAAGGAGTCTCCGTTGTTTTGCAGGTACAGGCGCAAGGATACCAGTCTTGGAATTGTAACTCTCTCGCAGGACATCAGAAAACCCCGAAACATTTTGGCGCCGTCTGTGGGGAGGGTAATTTCAAGATGGCATCATAGTCTGTACCGACTCAGAGTGAGAGGCGTCCTATGGAGGACCCTCAGGTCTATAGTGACAAGGATACCAAAAATGAGGTTGAGGTTGAGACTCATACGGCCCCAGACGGGACCTTACGAGCTCGACGAACCCATTCTTCTAAAAAGAAGGAACGAAAGATTGCCAGGTTGGATCTAGTAAACCTGCCGGCCAGCCGCTTGATCATCAACAGGCGGCCGAGGGATCTGCTCCCATCACTAGAAGTGAACTCATGACTTTCATGAATAACTTCAAAGGGGAGATCCAGGATCTCATTAATAATAAGACGTCTGCTCCCTTCAAGGAGCAGTCAGCTAGAAAACGTTCTCAGTCTGGAAGAAGGAAACCTGTACAAGGTCGAGAGGCGACTCCTCACCCTATACTAGGAAGTGGGAGTCGCCTGTGATTGACTTAACAAAGTATCGCCTTCACTCACCAGGGAAGAGAAAGCCCATTCGTCATGTACAAGCGGATGGGTTAAAGAAAACTTACTCAGATGCTCGACTGTTGCTAGAGCAGAAGAAGGGTTCTGCAAGCAATCGGAACCAAGATAAATTCTATCATTTTCATGAGGACATTGGTCATGAAACCAATAAATGTATAAGCCTCATGCGCTACCTAGACTGCCTGGCTGAAAAAGGCGACCTTGACTCCTATGTCATGAAGTCCAAGGCGAATGCTTCCCCCAAGCTCAAGCAGTCGGCCAAGAAGAATCATCGGCAGGCCGATAGTTCAGATACTGACGATGCCGTCGTTTACACTATAGCAGGCGGCTTCTCAGGAGGCGGCCCCACTATCAGGGGCAACAAAGACAATATCAGGCGGTTAGATGTTAATTTCGTTCACCAAGGACGGACAGCCAAGAGTTCATTCCCAGAAACTGTCATCACATAAGAAGATCTGGGAGGAGTTAGGGGGCCGCATGATGACCCCATCGTCATTGAACGTAAGGTGGCCAACCAAAGGGTTGGCTGGATCCTCACAGATACCGGCAGTTCCTCTGATCTCATCAGCAACATGTGCTTGGCAAAGCTTAAGTACAAAAGTGACTGCATATATCCGGTATCTCACCCTTTAGTAGGGTGTGGAGGAAATGTTGTACACCCAGTTGGGCGAGTGGATCTACCTATCCGTTTGGGTGAGAAAGGGGAGGGCCGTCACATGGTGGTTCCGTTCTTAGTGGTTGAAGAGCTGTCGGCCTACAATATGATCTTCGGACGACCCACCCTGAACAACTCTAAAGCTGTCATTATTCCTTCTCTTATGCTGCTCAAGTTTGAGAGGGATGATGGAACAGTCGAATCCCTAAGGGGAGATCAAAAGATGGCACGAGAGTGTTACCTCTCGGATATCAAACCCACTGTGGCTACTGCTGGCCCAAGTGGTGAAAAAACTGACCTTGAACTCATCAAGGAGGATGCGCCTGCCTAGGTGGCAGGCGGCAAGAAAAGAAAGGCTACTCAACTGGGGGCCGAGAGAAAAGAAAAAAGATACCAATCACTAGCACAGGAGCGGTCAGACGAATTCTACCCTCAGCCGGCTGGCGAGCACACGGATGTTTTCCTGGTCGACTCACGTCCTGACCAAACAGTCAAGGTAGGGACGACTGCTCTTGAAGTATTGGGTGAAGATTTTCACCAAATTTTGAAGGAATTCAAAGATATCTTTGCATTCGAAGTACGTGAAATGCCAGGCATCAGTCTAGACTTGGCAGTACATAAGCTGGCTGTGGATCCGAAAAAGAAGCCGGTCCGGCAAAAGAAACGGAACCATGGTGAAGAAAGAAGTCAGGCGGTTGTCGCCGAGGTTAAAAAGCTGCTTGATGCAAGGTTTATTCGGCAATGTTACTTTCCTGACTGGGTTGCAAATGTTATACTAGTTAAAAAGCCGAATGGTACCTGGCGCATGTGTGTGCACTACACTGATTTAAACAAAGCATGCCCAAAAGACAGCTACCCACTGCCTAAGATAAACAGTCTGGTCAACTCAACAGCCGGCCACGCTTTAATGAGCTTCATGGACGCCTACTTTGGCTTCCATCAAATTCCGGGTTGTGGAAGAAAGATCAAGATAAAACGCCCTTCGTCACTAATCAAGGGTTGTATTGCTACACGGTCATGCCGTTTGATTTGAAGAACGCCCCGACCACCTTCCAAAGAATGATAAACAGGGTCTTCTTTGACCAATATAGGAGGAATGTCGAGGCATACATAGATGATATGATTGTAAAGTCCAAACTTCAAACAGATCATCTGGCTGACCTCCAAGAAACATTCACCACACTCAGGCGGCACCATGTCATGCTCAATCCAAAGAAATTTGTGTTTAGAGTTGAGTCTGGGAAGTTCCTCGGATTTCTCATAAATCAAAGAGGTATAGAGGCGAACCCTGAGAAAGTGCAGGCGGTCATTGACATGCAGTCGCCTCGCACAGTCCGAGAGGTTCAGAAGTTAACAGGTTGTCTGGCGGCCCTAGGAAGATTTTTCAGCCGGTCAGGCGACAAGTGCCTTTACTTTTTTCAGGCAATAAACAAGAAATCAAGGTTTGAATGGGGTCGGATGTTAAGGCGGCCTTCCAAACACCAAAAGTCCATCTGCATTCTTTACCAAGGCTAGTCAGTCCCCTGCCCAAAGAAGTGCTCTACATGTATCTTGCAGTATCTGACCATGCTCTAAGCGTCGTCCTGCTTGCTGAAATAGACGGTTGCCAGCTCCCGATCTACTTTGTCAGCCATGTTTTGAAAAATGTCGAGTTAAGGTACCCCCTAGTGGAAAAATTTGATCTTGCTCTCTTCATGGCCGTTAGAAAATTGAAGCCTTATTTTTTGGCATATTCAGTCGTTGTATACACGGATTAACCAATCAAGCGGCCACTCTTAATCATTGAGTGGTCATGCCTAATGATCAAATGGGCAATAGAGATTCAGAGCCTTGAAATCATATTCGAGCCAAGAAAAGCAGTGAAGGGGCAAGCATTTGCTGATTTTATTGTAGAAATGACTCGGCCTTCTGATTCTCAAATTCCAAACCAAGTCTGGAAGGTCTATGTGGATGGGAGCTCCACCTCAAATGGTTGTGGAGCAGGCGTCATATGTCAGTCGCCAGAAGGCGACAGGTTTGAGTATGCTCTACGTTTTAACTTCCAAGCCTCAAACAAAGAGGCAGAATATGAAGCTTTAATGGCCGATATCCGCATGTGCAAGGCGGCTGGGGCAAGAAGAATAGACGCATGCTCTGAATCACAATTGATAGTGAGTCAGTATAATGGCGAATACGAAGCAACCCATCCGGCTATGATTAAATATTTGCAGGCGGTACGACAAGCGGTCGGGTCACTTGAGGAGTTTCATCTAACTCAAGTGCCTAGGGCTGAAAATAACCAGGCGGATGCTCTTTCAAAGATGGCGTCCTCGGCCTCTTGTGATACTCCAAGAACCGTCTTCTAGGAAGTTATGGAGAAGAGAAGTATTGAAGAAGATCTTATTGGAATTCTAGATCAAATTTTAACCTAGATGGACCCAATCAGAGCATATTTAACATCCGGCACCTTATCGAATGATCACTCCCAGGCGGCTCTGCTGAAAAAAGGGCGGCCAGCTTCGAAATATGAAAGGGTGAGCTCTTTAAGAAGGGTAATCTTCTGCCCCTCTTAAAGTGTGTGACCCCTGAAAGAGGACGAGAAAGACCTGCATTCAGGGTATTGTGCTTCACATGTAGGCGGCAGGTCGCTTGCTCAACAAGCAAGGCGACAAGGTTACTTTTGGCCTACCTTAGAAGTAGACGCCATGGAGATGGTGAAAAAATGTGACAATTACCAAAGGTTTGGCAAGTTAATTCACCGTCCGGCTACTGACCTCACTGCCATCCATAGCCCATTACCGTTTGCTAAGTGGGGCATGGATATCCTAGGTCCCTATACGCTTGCTACAGGCGGCAGGAAGTACATACTTGTGAGGCTGAGGCTGTTAAGGGAATTAAGACGAAGGATGTGATCTCATTCATCTGGAAAAATGTCATCACTCGGTTTGGGGTGCCCATGTCTATGGTTTTTGATAATGGTCCCTAATTTGAGACGCCAGTTCTAAAAAATTAGATGGGAGACCAAGGCATCTCACGTTGCTTTGCATCAGTCGGTCGTCCTAAAGCAAACGGCCAAGTAGAAGCTTTCAACAAGATCATCTCAGACAGACTTAAGAAGAAGATTGAACGAGTAGGCGGCCTATGGGCAGAAGAACTACCACATGTTTTCTAGGCCATTAGGAAGACTGAAAAAGGGTCGACTGGAGAAACTCCATTCCTCCTAACCTATAATGCAGAAGTTGTTCTTCCAATTAAACACTACGAGCCGACTCTTCGAATAATGTTGTATGATGAAGAGGCAAACTGGGAGTCCATGCGCCTGGCATTGGACTCACTTCCAGAATGGAGGGGCAATGCAGCCCTGCGCCATGAAATCTACCGCCTGAGAATGACAAGGTCATATAACAAAAGAGTGCACAGGCGTCCACTCAAAGTGGAGGACTTTGTCCTAAGAAAGATGGAAGCAGTCGGTAGGGCTAATGAGTCAGGCAAATTAACTCCCAACTAGGAAGGACCCTACCGAATCTATGAAGAGGTCCGGGACGGCACCTACCGCCTGGAAACACCAGACGGCCAACCCTTGCCTCGAACCTGGAATGTAGATAATCTAAAGAAATATTATTTTTGAATGATGTAAACAACCAAGAGTTTCTAATAAAAGTTTGCTACTTTGCTTCATCCATGAGCAGCCAGCTACTCTCCGTTTTTTCTATCAATTGAGGGGCATGCCAACTGATAAAACAGTCGGCTACTCTCCATTTTACTCAAACGTGCATTCAATTAAGAGGGGCACGTCGCCTGTAGCTATACAGTCAGCTACTCTCCTGTACTTAGTTCGCCATGAACTACCAAAGGCCTTTGGCCGAATGATCAGACCAGGCGCCCAGCCAACTAATCCAATCTTTAAACTAATATCACCTGTCCCAACATCATAGCAGGTGTCCGACGACATCCCTCTAGATGAAATTCGTCGCAGAGTAGCTCCCTTTTGGGTGGAACATTGTTCTATAAACTAATTACACGGCACCCAGATGACTTTCCCCAAGGACAACCACGTAGCCGTTTTTGAGACAAGGATAACTTTAACACTAAACCAAATAAGTGTTAGCAGTTAACATCCGCGTCGCAAAACCGTCTTTATTACTTGGGATAAGTACAGCCGGTACCTCTTGAGTAAATAGCCAACAAAAATTGGTGAATCAAGAGGACCAGCTGGCCTCCGCCGACTGGTTCCTCTACTATTCAAGCATAAAAGATGACGAATGGGTAACCTCAAAGATTGCCCATAAGTCACTCTCTCATACTTAATAAGGATTCAAAAGGTATGACGAGTCCGCCTGTCTAAAGGCGAACTAGAGCTCTCGTACCCCAACCCTACTAAGATGATTTCTTTTCAAACCAAACATGTTTGAAAATTAGGTCCGTAGGTCGACTGCTTTTTGGCAAGCAAGGACTCAAGAACTATTCCTATCTTAACAAACAGGCGGGCTAGTTATAAATGGCATGTTCCTTTCTAACTTGAAAAAGATAACCAAACCTAACGTATTTCCTAAAATATGTTGGGGGTCCGACTGGGTAAATGGCCGATTGATCGCCTAACCTAGAACCAAGACAACCAGTCGTCCAAGGGCATATGCAATCGTTACTTTATACCTGTTTGCAATCTTTGGCAAACAAATTTTAAATAAATGGTTGGCCGAAACAGTCGGTATGACATGCAAGCGGATACCAAAGATCCTCTACACTTAGCAAAAAACAAAGCATGAATGATATTCAATGAGCAAAGACGATCAAAAAATGGTCGCCAAATTCATATAAACAGCCGGCCATAAAGACCGGCAAAATATTCAATACCCTGGCCCCCTGGCCGGGTAAAGTGATACAAGAACTTATGGCGCGCAGGATGAATAAAAAGTTAAAGACATAAAAGCTTTAAAATTGAGGCAGGGTTTCAGTATTGGCTGCCGCTTGATCAGCAAGAGACGCCTGGTTCTGGGAGGCATCTTTCTTACTTGTCTCGACATCAGGGACAACTTCTTTAGACGTATCTACCACAATCGACTGCAAGGCCACCACTTCCTCTTCCTCTTCTGAGCAGGTTTTGGCCGCCTCGTCCTCCTCAGCCGCCTGCCTCATGATCTGTTGGTTATACGTTTCTGTACAAGCGTTGAACTTTTTCTCCCAGGCGGCATAGTGAGCTTTTATGAAAATGGTTGTCCAGGTCATCTTCATAATCTGAGCCGAGTCCTCCATCATGGCTTGAGCTAAAGCCATCTTTTCAGCCTCGGCCTTTGCATTAAGATCTTTGGTGATGGCCGCCTGCTGAGGGCTTGTGATGGGTTCCCCACACTTTGTGGGGTGATTGGCTGCTTGTCAGCCGACTGTTTCCTGTCAGATCCAGGCGTACACCCACCAGTCGTCTTCCAAACCTTCGTGTACTGCTGTTGGGAGGAGGAGGGTTTGGAAGTGACCGCCTGCAAAAAAGATGAGTGGTCAATACTAATATAAGCAGCTTTTCATGATAAGTTCAAAGGCTCGAAACTCACTATGGGCGTCACCTTGGAAGGAGAATCAGAAGAGGTCCGCTTCTGTTGCATGACGGAGGCTCGCAGCAAGGCAGCCGCCTTCTTAGATGCGGAAATTTGGTCCATAGCTTCAGCTACAAATAAGAACTGCAAAGAGTTAGAAAAAATTCGAAAACAAACCAAAAGAAATGAACATATATTCAAGAGGCCAGATACCTCTGGAGGACCAACTGCTAAGGCCGCAAGCGGCCAGAAAAAGTCATAGAGCCATTGAAACTCTAGGACGCAATTTAGGGGCACTTGCTCTCGTACCCCAGTAGTAGAGTTTTCCCTAATCTCTACTTTGAAGAGTCCTCGGTCAAGGATCTCTTCCCGAGCCTTGCGGGGGGCAGGTGGCATACTGCGACCTCCTACTAGAAAAGGCGGATCCTTGTTCCACCTATTGTAGCGCTTGTTCAGCAACCTGTCAGAGCTGGCAATGATGAGGAAGGTGTTCCTCTAATCCTTCCATTTATTTTCTTTGCCCTTGGTCATTAGGTAGCCCTTGTGGCTCATTATTTGGTACCAGCCGGTACCGCTTGCCTTGGGGGTCTGGCTGAGATAGTTCATATGGGTTAACGCCTCAAAATTCGGCTCCACCTCGTGCATTTCACATCCGGCTACATAGCCAAGGATTTTGAACCAGTAATTCAGGGCTAACTGCCAAAGCCCCACCTCGTATCCATCGAGGATTTGTTGAACGACCGGGTGTAGGGGAAATCGCAATTTAGCCTTAATGGTCGCCTCGTAGCAGCTAAAACAGGCGTCCCCGTAGCTAAAACGGGCCAGACGATTGTATCCTCACCATCCGGCACAAATACTTGAAAATTCGGACCCATCGTATGGTCCGATAGAAAAGTGTCTATTCGTTCTTTCATGGCCTTGATCCGGCCCTTTAGGACATGAAAATAATAAGGGGTGTTCAACTCCCTATGAGAGGCGGATGGTTCCGACCAACCGTCCCCCTTTTCAGCTGCATGAGAAATTCTCGCCTCATGTAAACGAGCATGCCTTTCCTCTGAGTTTATAGAGAGGCGACTTGAAGAGCTAGAGTCAGACTCACTATCAGAAGAGTCCGACTCCTCCCCTCTCCCTGAGGGGGCTAACCCCTCTTCTTCTTCAAGGGTTGTTTGCTGACTGACCAGGTCAACAATGAAGTGGGAAGAAGCTACTTTAGCTCCCTCCTCAGAGCTCTCGGCAGAAGGGTCACCTTGGGTCCCTGCGGTATCTAGCGGCTGGTCCGACAGCTCACTAATCTGAACCCGGAAAATGGAGGCATCAGAGTTCTCAATTCTCTTGGTCTTTTTTGTTCTTGCCATACTATCCTGCATAAATACAAAGACAGTTGGATTCCGGGACTTGCGCAAAGTTTAAAGTACCGCAGGGCAGTCGGCACCCCTAATCCTAGACTCAACCATCCCTGGTGACCGGCTGATTGCTAACCTAGGTCGTGCCGGATGCTTTTCAGGTCTCATTTTCAAAAAAGAAAGAAAAAGTGTAAAAGCAGTCAGAGCTCAAGTTCAGGAGTCCAAGAGTTCTCTTGAAAAACTTCGCAAATGTGAACAAAAGACTTGGTCAACATGTCTTTATATAGGGAAAAGGAGAATGCAAAGGGTCGCTTCCAAATTCAAAAAATGAGCGGGAAAAATGCTCGGCCCGTCATAAGGCGACACCTGTAGCAGGCCGTCGCCTGTTACAGGCCGACACCTGTCACAGGTGACATGTGAACAGTCACGTGCCACCTGTTAGGGGCAAATGATTAGGGGATTTTTCCCTACCAATCATCATCTGACAAGTGGACCAATCAGGCCCTGCCTTGTGTCCGCCACATGGGCCAATAGAAGCCTGCCACGTGTCAGGTGTTGATCCGTTCACCATGGACCAGTTGAGTCATGCCATGTGGCCTCCGTATGCCAAACAGGCCACCTATGCCCAATTTCAAGGAAGCCCAGTCAGCCCTAGGTTGACCTAAACCTAGTATTTGACACGTTTCCCAAGGTTATAAATACTCTAATTAATCCTCATTAAGGAGGATTCAACAATTAATTACTCTCACCTACAAAACTTAAACACACTAATCACTCCTCCCCTAAAGGAACCAGATCTCCCAACCTTTACTTTTCCGCACTATTCACTCCTCAAACAAGTACTAACTTGATCGTCGGAGGCGGAACTCCCACCACAAGTAGTCTCCGTTGTTTTCCAGGTACAAGCGCAAGTATACCAGTCCCGCACAGGACATCAGAAAACCTTAAAACAATTATAACATAGAAATTAATTGTGACTATTATGTATTACCTATTGGTTTGGTATGTGGTATCAAAGGATACCATATCACCAAATAGAGAATAACTCTTTTTACAAAGGGGGTTTGCCCACAATCCTCTACAAAGGCAATAATGTTCATCCATCTAAAAATCAAAGAAAAAAGCACTCCACATTAGCTTTTTGTTGGTAAAATTATCCACGAACATTTGAGCATCACTTCCTTGATTGTATGCTTTTAAATCTCTATGAAATTTTTTGAAATCTTGCTTAGATGCTTCAATGTTATCATATCCTCCAATAATTTCCTTCATCATTCAAAAAGTTGTAACGAGACCAATATTCACCTATTTAAAGAACAAAACAGTTTGTCAAATGAGCAAACAATTTAATGCTCAATTTTCAAATGAACAAACAATTCAATGCTTATTTTTTAAATGAGCAAATAATTATTTGCTCATTTGTCAAATGAGCAAATAGCTTTTATTAGAACATATAGAGAATTCATGAAACATAAGAGACTTTGAAAGTGTTACCTTAGAATTATTCACAATTATTTTTTTTGTGCAATATGTTCATTTTCCTTCCTTCTTTTTGGAAGAGATTGCAACTAGGTGTATAAAGTGCATGAGTATGTCCCTTATGAAATTGTGACACTATGAATTTTTTATCATCACAATGCTTTATGACAATATGTGCCTTGCACCCAACACGAGTAACGAGTTTTTTCCTTTTAATTGAAGCTTTTTCTTCATTGCTTTCTCCTTTCTTGTTATTTAAATCTTTTTCAACAGTAGCCTTTCTTTTCTCTTTGTATTCTTCTTTATTGCATAAGATATAATGTGATTTCAATTCTATGCTTCTTCTTTGTCTTTTAGTTGTAGAATTTCTTGTGTTGAATCCAGCAGCAAATGCGTAACTTCTATAAAATTCAAGACCCTCTTCAAGATTATTAAACTTCATCCCTATAGTTGGTTTCAACTCATTGGGGCATATTGGAAGCCATTCTTTTGTTCCTCCAGGAGTGAGCAAAGGTGCTACTTTAGGAGAAACTACTATTGTAGGAGTAGTTGGCACATTTATGATGGTACTAGAATGACTATCAAGTTGTTCGTTACTCCTTATCATTTATGTCATTAAACATAATAGAAATAACAAGTCATTAACATTCCCACACACAATAGTAACAAGTGAATATGTACCCCCTTAAACACACTTACACACAGACTCTCAATAATTAGAACTAAAATCAGATTCTTAAATAAGAATGTACATGGCCAGAAGCAAACACACACACTTATACATACACTCTTACATTCACTCACACACACACACACACACACACAACAATTTTTGAAATCAGAACTGCAAGCAGAAAGATGAAGGGCCAGAGGGGATAGGTTTGTGCAGGGAAGTGGAAGAAGGGAGTGTGGTTGGTTTGTAGGAAACAGACCAAGAAGGTGTTGGGGCTTGTACACAGGCCAGCAAACCAAGTAACTCAATGCTCATTTGTGAAATAAGCAAACAATTCTTTTATCTTTTGTCAAATGAGCAAATAATTGAATGTTAATTTGTCAAATGAGCAAATAACTCAATGCTCATTTGTGAAATTAGCAACTAAGTATTTGCTCATTTGACAAATGAGCAACTAATTATTTGCTCAATTGACAAATGAGCAAATTATTTGCTAAATGAGCCTATATGTGATATATTACTTGTGAAAATAACACAGTACAACGCAGCAACATCAAGCGTAAAGCATATCTATACAACCAAATTTACATTTAATGATCAATTTTATATAAACAGTCAATTACAGACCAAGTATATGAAGGAGAAATTGATTTTGGATACTATTGTATCTGCAATCAATCATGAATGCTCCTTAACTTAAATCACTTTGTACTGTGATCTGTTAGTAGCCAAAATCTGCAGCAAGCTGAATTCCCCAAAGGACTTCCTTCGCTTCACTAATGCATGGCTCCTAGCAGTCTTTCACCTTCCACGAAGCAGCTACATAAGCCTTCCCATCACTTCCCTCCACTTTCTTTCTCTCTACTCTTTTTTCTTCACAATAATATGGGCACCCTCTCTCTTCTAATCCTAGCATTAGCTACAGATACCTATTTCACTTTCATTGCTTCTTCAACTCATGATAATAAGCTGAATGCCATTTCTCACCCTCTTCCTTATACCGTACAATCACCACCACCACCAAACTCTCTCTCCTTCCTCCGCCCCTGTCCCTACCCCTGCACCTTACCACCACCATTATCACCACCACAACCTGTCTCACTCTCACTCCCCTTTCGCCGCCCCTGTCCTCTACACCCTACCACCACCACCATCACCAACATATTTTGCTCATTTGCTCATTTTTTTTTGGATTTGCTCATTATATTTTTTTCTATATTGTTACACATATTTAAGTTTGCTCATTTTCAATTTATTTGCTCATTTTAAATTTGATTGCAAATTTTCAATCTTTATCAAATTAATCAAACCTAAATTATTGATTCAATTCAAAAAACTTCAAAGAAGTAAATTCAATCAATTAATAACTGATGCAATTAAACATGTAATTCAATGAGAATAGAACAAACCTCAAAAATCGAAAATTATCATGCAATTAACATGCAATTTAATAACCTGGCGATTGATGCAATTAAACATGCAATTCAATGAGAACATAACAAACCTCAAAAATCGAAAAATTATCATGTAATTCAATAACCTAGCGATTGATGCAATTAAACATGCAATTCAATGAGAGCAGAACAAACCTCTAAAATCGAAAATTATCATGCAATTAACATGCAATTCAATAACCTGGCAAATTTGATTTTGTAGCAGCGATTGCAATTGCAATTAATAATATCGAGCAAGGCGAGCGAGGTCGATGTGAACTTGCTTATGATTATTTGGAGGATCCAATTCAAAGTAATGAGAAACAACGTTACTAATCGGACGCCATTGATGAAGCTTCGTGGTGGAGAGAGATGACAATTAGGCGTGATTTTTAGGAGTTTTATGTGATTAATCACAGGCCTTGGATTGAATACAATTTGATAACTGAGATTTGTTCTCACATGTAGGATGAGTTCTCACATAGAAGATGGTTCTCACTGGATCCCGACCCTATATATATATATATATATATTGGGAATTAATAAGAAGTTTTTTATAATAAGAAGGATAAAATGTGCATTTTATTTGAATTGAATGTGCATATGTTTTCTACTAAATGTGGAAATTTGATTTCTCACATGCTACTTTTTCTCAAATTTTTGGAAAAGCAAATGTAAGTAGAATATGCACAAAATATAAGCACATTAAATTTCGGTTAATTTTATTTTGCACATTTCCCTACCTTATATAAAGTACAAGATTACTCGTATAAATAGTGTGCTGCTAATTATGCCCTTCAAAACTTGCATTTACTTGTTTACCCTCATAAATATGTAAAAGTTTTATTTTGCCTTCATTAATGTTAATTGTTCTTTTTTTTTCTTTCATTATTGTTAATTTCCTTTTCTAAAATCTTATTTCGAATAGTGCGCGAACATTTATAACCCTATAAAATTTGGTTACATATTTTCCCTCATTAATATAATCAACAACTGAAAAAGCTCTACGAACGTAGCTAACTATGGTGCGCGCATCACGCGCGTTAGCTACCTTATTGTAGAGAATAATATTGAAAGATAATTACACTCCTTTAGGGTATATTCTCATTCACTATAATATCTCTTGTGATCCTATTTAGTTAATATTTGATATTCCTCAATCAAGGATATTAGTTGTCCTTCCTAAGATAGTTTATTTAGCTACATATTTAGCTCAAGCTATGTAATATACATACATACATACATATATATATATATATATATATATATATATATATATATATATATATATATATATATATATATATATCTGTGTGTGTGTGTGTGTGTGTCCTATGTATAATATAATTCAAAACTCTTTCACTTATTTGTTAAAAAAATATGCATATTCCGTGAAAGACTAATGCGCATAAAATTCTTCTCATCCTTTTCATTTTAAGAAATTTCTCATTTGACCTTAATTATATATATATTTGGATCATGCGAGAAGCTATCATAAAGTGAGAGGGTGAGAAGTTATATCAATCGTTAGATTAATTGTATCTCATGCCTGGGGTTATTTCCATCTCATTAATAGAAATTATGTAAATAGGTAGAAGTCAGTATAAATAATAGAAAAGTAGTGTTCAGCTATCCACGTTTCCATATTGTTAGCTTCACATTTTCTCTCTCTTTCCCCATATTTTCTCTATCTTATATAGCAGCATTATTTAATTAGCCTTTGTGATGTATTCACAGGAAAATGGGTAGCTAGAGTTTGTTTGCAGAGTTGGTTAGGTGATTTTTTCGTTTACTAGTTGTTAGGAATTAAGATGCTTTATTAATTGCTTATGGTTTGTGAGAAGAGCTAAGCTAACAGATTATATAACCCAATCAGTTGTAATATTCTCATTAAGAAAATACACTAAACTTATTCCATTATTCTCATTCTATCTTCTTCCTCTTTCTTTCTTTATTCCGCTATCTGCTTCTTCTTCTTCAATCTCTAATTTCTGGAAACTAGCTTGATTTTTGCAATCATAAATTCGATAAGGATTTATACCATTAGTGGTATCAAAGCAGTTGTTGCTCAACTCTATTGTTGGATCATTTCGACACCAACTATTACTAATCTGGTAAACAAATTGAAAACTTAATTATTAAAACTAAAGAAGAAGTTTGTGGCTCAAAACTTGGCATCTACCAAAAAATTCAATGACCTTCTACAGATGATGTAGGCAATGAAGGATAGCATACCTATATCTTGATTTGAAGACCGGATTATTCAGCCAAAATTAGGGTATACTCTTAAACTTGACTTTCCAAATTTTAATGGCAATAACCCCAGACTATGGATAAAAAAAGTGCTGCAAATAATTTACTCTGTGTAAAATCCCATATGAACAAAAAGTTGGTCTAACATCACTTAATCTGATTGATAAAGCTAAACATTGGGTATTTAGTTATATATCTTCTAGAATTGATGTGGATTGGAATGACTTTGTACGTAATAGATGTTAATGGAAGATTTAAGTATGATCAATTCTGTTTGAATGTGGTTGAGTTCAATAAACTTTACCAAGCTGACACCATAATGTCATATATCAATGAATTTCAAATCTTGAAATTGATAATGTTATAAAATGGATATATGTTGCCTAACAAATATTCATTGGAAAGCGTCATTAGAGGTCTTAAACCTGGAATAAGGCCTTTTGTTAGAGCTCTTAAACCTCAGACTATCACATATGCTGTTGAATATGCTAGACTACAGGATGAGTTTGTCACTGTAAATTCTTTGAAAACTACCAAACCATTTAATAACACACCAAAACCTTATCAAAATACACTTGCATCTAACTCTACATACCAAGCCACCCTTGCTTCTTACACCTCAAATAAAACCTCTTACCTTACCCACACTTAACACTAAACCATACTAGATAACGAAACATGTGCCTGCAAATGTTAGGGTTTTTTTAAAAAAATCTAAGGGTTTATGCTATTACTATGATGCACCTTATGAAAAAAACCACAAATGGTAGTTCAAAGAGCCTTAGTTGTTCACTATCAAAAATCCTGGCTTGGATGAGGTGGATGCAGTAGTAGTAGAATTGGAAGAACAGAAAGTGGAGCAAGAACTAGACCCTTGTATATCTTTGAGTGCCTTAACTAATGATCAAAGTTATCACACCATGAGAGTACGAGTTAAGGCAATAATAGGTGCGACTCCCTTGCATACATTATTTGATTGATGCAAGTAGCACAAACAATTTTATGGATATTCTTTTTGTCAGGCAGTTGAGGTGTAAGAGTAAAAAGATAAATGTGCAATAAATCATGATAGAAGATGGTAATCAATTGGTATGTCAATCCATTTGTAGACAGTTCTCTTAGACTATAGTGATGAAGCATAAGCATGTTGCTGATGTTATGTTAATCCCTCTAAGCAGCCATGACATGGTCCTTGGGATTCAATGGTTGAGCATTGTACTTTAGGGTCAATCTCAGGGAATTTTAGGC